ACTTGTTGGTTTTGAGTTTTTGCAGGAGCTGTACAAGGAAGATGAAGACTTCAAGGACACTTATTCTAAGTGCCTCATTCGGCCCTATGGAGATTTTCTTGTCAAAGACGGTTATCTCTTCCGTGGTAACCAATTGTGCGTCCCGAAATGCAGTATGCGCGAAACCCTCATTGAAGAAGTCCACGGAGGAGGCTTAGCTGGTCATTATGGAGTCGACAAGACTCACATGATGATGAAGGAGCATTACCACTGGCCAAAGATGGAACGAGACGTCGAGCATTTTATCAAGCGTTGCAACACATGCCACCTAGCAAAGAGTCACTCACTGCCCCAAGGAAAGCACATGCCACTGCCCGTTCCTTGTGCACCATGGGAAGATATTAGATTGGATTTCATCACCGGGCTACTGAGGACGCAGCGGGGCAAAGATTCGATCATGGTTGTAGTGGACCGTTTCTCAAAGATGGCCCCTTTCGTACCATGTGTTACCACTTGTGATGCTTCACAAGTTGCAGATATCTACTTTCGAGAGATAGTCAAACTCCATGGCGTTCCTCGAAGCATGGTATCGGACAGAGACACCAAATTCCTTAGTCATTTCTGGATGACTCTTTGGAGAAAATTGGGTACTAAACTGAAGTTTAGTACGTCAAGCCACCGATGGCCAAACCGAGGTCACCAACCGCACCCTTGGAACACTCTTACGAGTCCTCATCAAGAAGAAGATCAAGCAATGGGAGGAGCTTCTTCCGCACGCCGAGTTTGCCTACAACCGAACCCCGAACAAGACTATCTGACTATTCCCCATTCACGGTGGTCTATGGTTCGAACCCCTTGACCCCACTTGAACTTGATCCGATCATCACGGAAACCAAATACAGTTGGGAAGCAGACAAGCGGTCAAAGGAAATCCAAGACCTTCACGCCAGGGTTCGAGAGAAGATTGAGGCTATGAACGAGAAGGTAAGCGCACACATCAACAGAGGAAGAAAGAACGTCCACTTCCAACCAGGAGACCTTGTTTGGATTCACCTTCGGAAAGAGCGTTTCCCCACGAAACGCAAGTCAAAGTTGCTGCCAAGAGCCGATGGCCCGTTTGAAGTCATAGAGAAAATCAACGACAATGCCTACAAGATTAACTTTCCGGGAGATTATGGAGTATCGGCTACTTTCAATATCAAGGACATCAGCCCGTACTTCGAGCCTGAGGAACTGCCGAGTTTGAGGACAAACTCTTCTGAAGAAGGGGAGGATGATATACCCCCGACCACCAACAATGATCCTCGAGTCCATAAACAAATCTGTGGAATAATGTCCAAGTGTTTTAATCCTTTTTGGAATGAATACATCACCCATAAACCATACAACCCGACCCTGGTCCTGTTGGACCTTCCCCCACCTTGATGGCCGAAAGTACCACCCAAAACCACCCCTCCCAAATATCCAAATCAAACCCAAGTCCCTTCCTTTTTTT